TAAAAAAAAATTAGTACTTTCACAGTCCCTTTACCCTGGCCACCCCAACAAATCTCAAGTCCACTTTCACAAGAAAGGTATGAATAATTGCAGACAAATGTATAAAATTAAGCAAAATTCAGAACGGAGAGTGAAGATAAAATGAATTACAGAAATGAGAACTGGAATACAACCATATGAAACATTGCTCAAAATAACTAATAAAAGACATGCAAATCAAAACAACTCCGAAGTTTCACCTCACACACAGTAAACATTGGCAAGGATGATTAAAGATGTGACTAGTCAACATTTTGAGACACTGTTGTAAGGCAGGCACATTAAAATGCTATTGGTGGAATGCTACATTTGTCCAGGAATTCAGGAAAATAATTTGGAATTATGCTTAAGTAAAATGTCTATACTCATTGACCCAAAGATCCACTATTAAGTATATACCCCCAAGAGGACAAAGAGAAAAAAGGCTCCATATACACCAAAATATTTATATAGTAGAATTTTTTGTAGCAGCAAAGAAAAAAACTAGCAATAAATCAGAAACCCACTGACTACAGAATGGCTAAATAAACTGATAATACAAATGTAATGGAATATTACTGCAGCATAGGAAACAACAAACATGAAGACCACAGAGAAGTGTAAGGAGACATGATGTAAAGTGAAGTAAGCAGAACTAAGAAAATAAGGGGCAGCTAGATGGCACAGTGGATGGAGTACCAGCCCTGGATTCAGTAAGACCTGAGTTCAAATCGGGCCTCAGACACTTGACACTTACTATCTGTGTGACCTGGGGCAAGTCACTTCACCCTACTGCCTCACCAAAAAAAAAAGGAACTAAGAAAATAACAGATACACTGACAATGTAAAAACAACCAAAACAGAAAAAATTTAACATTTTATAACAACCAAGCTCGTCCCCAAAGAAATGAGAATATGCACCACTCTCTACCCTTCACTGGAGAGGTGGGGGATTATGGGTGTGAAATACTATATACACTATCAGATTCAGATGATTCATTTCGTTTTATGGAACTGCATTTTTTTTTCTTTTTTATTCTTTGTTACAAAGGATGCTCTCTCGGTAGGGGAAATGGGAGGGACATATTTGAAAATAAAGGTAATATAAAGATCAAAATAACAATTAAATTCTTAAAAATTAAGAGTGGAAGGAACTCTAAAAGATCATCTAAATCTGATGTATATTTCCCAACTCTCCAGTATGTTTTATCTTCAAACATCAGTCATGCACCTGGCTGTGCTACCTTACCCAAAGTAACATATATAGGGGAAACATAAATTCTAGCCAGCTTTATAGACAATGGTTTGTATAACTAGTTAAAAATAACCAGCTCTAAATTTTAAAAAAAGTGACTGTTGCATGCAACTTTGGCAAAATTATGCTGGTTTCACTGTCA